AGTCAAAATACGGAAAATCGGCCGCCATCTTGCCCCACGACCGAGTTTAAAGAGGAATGGCTCTAGCGGATAATGTGACGTCAAATCGAGAACACGAAAGTCTGCATTTCACACATTTTCGCTTGTTTGGGAAGGTTGTAGTCGATTTTGTCCGAAAATATGCCGACTAAGTGTGTTGTAGGAGGATGTAGCAACGTGCGAAATTTGCAAGAGGGTATCACGCTTCATACATTCCTCATACAACACACCTGGTCGGCATATTTCGGACAATATCGACCACAACCTTCCCAAACAAGTGAAAATGTGTGAAAAGCAGACTTTCGTGTTCTCGACTTGACGTCACATTATCCGCTAAAGCCATTCCTCTTTAAACTCGGTCGTGGGGCAAGATGGCGGCCGATTTTCCGTATTTTGACAAGGCACAGAAAATTTAAGATTTAAGCAAATTAAAAAATTTTTGGACAGAAATACTCCAAAAAATAAGCTTATTTCGTTAAGCGAAAACAAATTTTTGGGTTTAGGTGCACTTTTAAGTCCTGCTGGTGTTTAGTAATTGGTACTTGACAATGATTCCTATACATTGATTTTACACAAAGGTTTTGGAAAACCTTCAGCTATCATATTCGGCCGATTTCAGTTAAGAGAAAACTAAAGTATTGGCTATTTAAACTTCTAATAAGTATTGCCTGTGCTCTTTCTATTTCATAGGTTTTTAAAACCTTCCTCACCCCTCTACGCCTGGTGTAGATATCATCCTGGCCAACATTCCTCGCCATTCCAAAATCTGTCACTTTACATCCTTCTCCTTCACCAACAAGAACATTTCTGGCCGCTAAGTCACGGTGGATGATCTAACCAGAAACTACAAGATTACTTACTTATCCGTTATTCACTCGTTTAAGAGTACCAAAAATAATGAGTTGAGCCTGGCTTTTTATTGCAACACGAAATAAAAAAAGTTGCTAAGATGGCTTAGTGACCAGGCATCTTATACTTAAGAGGCAAACTGTCTCTCACGGAGTTCCTCCGCAATCTCTATACTTTAACAACTCGATGACAAATTCATTTACTCGTAAGTTGTGGGGGGTGCGACTGGACTTGTCTGTTTCCCATCTCCGAAAACCCACATAAAAGGCAGCTATAGTGGGATTTACAGTTGCTGTTTATAAAACACAACCCACAAAGTTTTTTCCTCACCTTCTTTGAAGATAGGTATTTCATTCCATCAGCAATCTGCCACGCAAATCGCACCAGTTGCTCTGAGGTAAGGTTCGTCTCAGGTTTAACATCCGGGTCTTTAAAATATGTGTCAATTAGGCCACGACTCCTTCTCAGGTAACCCAACAGATCACCATAAGGTATGTGCTCAATCAAAACAAGTAAAGGATCTACAAAGAAAAGGTGTAGTATACCTTTATTTTTTCATCTCTTTTTAAACGTGAGCTTCTTTTTGAGTTTCTTTCTCCAGATCCATGTCAGTATCTGAGTAACTGTGCACCCATCCCTCCCCTAACCCAACAATAGTCAACTGATAACAAGTTAAGATTAATTTTGGGTTAGGGAGGGGTAGGTGCACAGTTGTTCAGATACTGGCATTGACCCCATGTTTCTTACCAGAGTTGGTGATGCATCCCATCAGTTTAATAACATGAGGATGGGGCTTTAGTTTCTTCATTAACTCAAGCTCTGATAGGAGATCCTTTCTGTCTGATTCTGGAGCATTTTCTTCACAAAAAGACGCAAAGTATTCTAAGATCACTGCTTAGTAATAGATAACAGCAGAAAGAAA